AGGTAGCTGACCAAGCTGATGCGCAGCCTAGAAGATGCGCACTACCGCGGTGTAGCAACTGCAATGTTCAAGGTCATACTAGGGTCAGCTGCCCTAGTAAATAGGCGATTATTTTACATGTAAATAGCTTCAATTTAGGGGTGGTGTGGTGAGATAATTAGATATCTAATAATAATGGCGTTGGTGGGTGTTTCGCTCGGTGATCTGTTTCGCTCGGTGATTGATTACGTTAATTGGCTTTAGTAATCTTTACATACCCAACACACACCAAAGGCCGACGTCATTAAAGATCAATTCCTCAAAGATCAGAGGGGAGATAAGTAATAAGCTTGGAAATTTCCTGTAGGACTTCTACGTAGCAGTCTGTCTGACTGGAAGGAAAATCCGGATTAAGGACTCGCAATCAGAAAGGCATCACCCTACGATACATGTATATATATATATACTCCGTATAAATGCCAAAACAACATTCAACACGATAGTCTGATCCCTCAGCACTTTCTCATCTTATCTATCTCCAGGTGTCTTATTCGTTACTAATTTTGTTCCATGAATTGCATATATAGATGGTCTGCCGAAAATATTTGCCATCCTGCAGTATCTTTGTATGTATGTGACAATAATTATTCCCTCGACTGGGATATAGTCGTTGAAATATGTGATCCTCTCTATCATGAAGAAGTAGCAAGGTTCGATTGCTCCAAGATCTCCACTTACCTTACTACATGGAGAACTTGGTTAGAGGAGTCCATAATAATGGAACCTTGAACAAATCCTTTTCACTGCAGTCTTGCTTTGAGATATATATAGTTAGCCGGTGTAACGCCCTCTCTTTTTTTTTATTATCCTTATCCTTACGCTATTTATACAGCTGGAGTGTTATGGAGAGATTTGACTTAAGAAGTCATACGACTTCAGTAATTATGTTGAAGAATCCATTCGCTTTATGGCTTTTCAGCTGGAAAAGGAATATGGCTCATTTCTCCTGCCATTATATATAATTCACTTCCTAGAATCCATCAAGTACATACGACCATAGGGTGTGGAAAACAGGGCTTCCCGTCCGCTCAGCTGTACTTAAGCCACACGCCGGCTGGTTAGTAGCTGGGTGGGTGACCACCAGCGAATTCCAGCTGTTGTATGTTTTTGCTTGCTCATTTTTTTACCAGCATGTCGTTGATTTGCTCCATACTGCTAGATTCAGGGGCGTTCGGGGAAATGGCTTTGCATCTTGCCGTCGAAACCGGGTAAGAAGCCATTGCGTGTTAACTCATCAATAGAGGGACAGATATTCTTAGGAAAGGAACCTCTATGTATGTACAGTACATACATTTCTAGTTATTTCTGCCGTCATCAATAATCCAACCAAGTATCAGTCCGACAAGCTTGTAGAACATGGGAGTACTTGCGTAGCAGGTCCCACAGAGATTGATCACCTTCTGTAAGATGTCGATAATTCTTGCCAGGAAGACCGCCCTGCTGCATTTGGGCCGAATCGGATTTTCTGCAAAGTAAAACATTGCCCCTTTCATACCATCTGTTAAAGGAAAAGTCGCCAAAGGCAAGCACTTGAAGTGATTGAATGCCTTTGGATCCAAATGCCCATTGCGCGAACTTGTCAAGATGCTCCGTGAGCTCTGGAAATCTCTTTTCCTTAGATGATGATTCGCCACTACTCTCGTCCTCACTAGATTCACTGCTGTCAGTCTCACTCGTTCTAGACTCCATTTCATCCGATTCACCGTGCGGATCGGTTTCAGAAACGCCATACCGGACTCCCCAACTTTGCAAGTGCTCAAAATCTGAGCCCGACTGCCTGATGTGTAAAACGTTCAGGCAATTTTTCTTTCTAAATGGAGAGATTATCGGCTTCTACAACAGTAGTGTCGGAAGTGTTAGCTTATTATATCACTCGTAATTTAGGATTTGCAGGACGTGGTATACCAAATAGCTAGGAAAACAGCAAATTCCAATACATTCCAAGTCGAGACCACTAAAGGGGTTCTGTGAGGAATCCTTCATCAACGTCACGATATCATCGGGCATAAACGATAGATCAAGTCGGTCGGACGGTAGCTAGGATACCATATTCTTATAGTTCTCTTATTCTATTGATAGGCTATAGTAAAGCTATAGGATCTGGCAAGTTTTTGTTACTCCTCAACGTTCTGCTGTCTCTCCTCCTCCTTATCAGATATAATTATATAAATAAGTATATGATTTCAGTATAGAAGTTAATCAAGATCATACCCTCTATAAATACAGGAGAAAAGGATTAAGAAAAAGAACAGTCAAGCAATCATATGCCCTGTTATCCTATTTGAGGCCCTGTGTTCTCAGTCACAGTGCCTGCAGCCCTGCCCCTAACTCACCCTGCTCACCCGTGCTCGCCTACACTCACCCCTTGCTTGCGCGACTACTACACTTGAAGCAGCGATGAATTCAGGGCCTTAGCTCAGCCACACCAAGTTGAAGGGGCACCCAGGAACAACAATTTTCCTGTTCCAAAGTAGATAAGGTGCTGTGTTTGACGCAATATCATTGGCGGGTAGTTAGCTGAACTTGATGACGTGTTCTCTTTCGAATGAACAAAGTGAGGAGAGCCTCCTACTGGGTCTTCATCTACAGCTTTGGTTGTGGATTTGAATACATACTCCGTACTGAAGTCCGAAAAATCATGCAGCCTGATCTACCAAAGAGAGAATTTTTTGGGAAAAATATCAATTGGCGATCGTGGGATGCAATAAGCAGGCACTGGATTCTTTCCAGGGGACTCTTAAATCTAGTTAGTGTACCAACCTAGTAAGTAGGTAGATTATGCCGCTGTTTACTGCCCTCGCTAAGGCGACCTCCGCCACAAATAATGTAGTCAGCGAGTCTAGGTTAACTAGATAAAAAACCCTTCTCAGCTCTCTGGAATTCAGATGTCATGTTCGTGAATGGTTTAATATTCGTGCGCTGTTCCAAAGTTGTCATAAAGTGAATTAGTAGATTGTCGCTGGTGGTCCGTGCGTCCCTAACCCCGGTCGGCTCATCGCGGGGAAAAGCTTAGCTTAGCTAGCTCCAACTAAAGCTTCACTTCGCGCCATCCTCAAACATTGTAGTCACCACTTGTTTCCGGCGTTTTGGATACTATGATCTCTTTTGGTTTCTAGTCAGAACTTCCCTCGGTTTTGGAGGTGATTGTCGACTCACTCTGGTTTGTTGGCGTTGACTTGCGACAGTCACCATGAGCGACCATACCCAAGGTGCACTGAAGCCTTCGTTCAAGTCAACCGAGTCTGGCTGAAACTTGCTGGAATTTTCTCCTAACTTACTGCGACAAGATGCGAGAGAGCAATTGCCATGCCAGTCAGGTGACATCTGACAACGACTGGTCTTTTGCTCCACCACAAGTCTCACCTCCCCGTCTGTCGACGCTGATCGAAGAAACTTCCACAAAGGAGGGCAGTGGGGAGAAGGCAGAAACGCAGGCAAGAAATGATGTCGTCCCTGTCTCGACAATAGCGAGACACCCTGATACCGCCGACAATACCGATCCTGCCTTGCTCGAAGAAGCCAGCTTATTTTCCACGCTGGACCGCGAGCACCACGATCGCCTCACACGATATATTGCAAGCCATCTGTTCATTGTCAACGAAGGTCTGGTCGTGCGATGGCTGGATGGCACAAATTTACACAGGAGCTGCGTGCGGAAGCCGCCACAGTTGGACTGGACGAGGAAGCTATTCAGCGGCTGATCAGCACTATACAGAGGGTTGTACGAGGAAAATGTTCACTATGATGATGGTTCTGTGTTTGGGGTTGAAGAGTTTGATGGTGTAGATGACGGGAATGTGAAACAAAAGAAACGAGAAAGGAGAAATTGTGGCTCCTCCGGCTCTGCGAAGAGCGATTCCAAGAAGCTGAGAAAAACAGTGCTGGAAGACCAGAAGTTCCCTGTTGAAGACGGATCTACAGCGGCTTTGAGTACAGAGTCTAATGCTGACAGCGCGATTGCGGCGATATCAGAGGTTACTCGAGAAGCTACCAACACATCTGTTCCATCGAATCATGAGATCTCAGATGTGAACACTAATGCACTTGAAACCAGAGAAAACAAGAAAAATGCAGCTCCTTCTGATACTAAGGCGCAGAAGGGGAAGCCCTGGAAACAAAGGTCCAGACCAGCCAAAGTCAGCCACCATTTTGCTAAGCGCAGAGAAGGGAAGTCTGTAGCCAGCAATCTTTCCGGCAGAAAGAACCCCCAGCAATCAAAATCAGCAAATACAGACAAATGCAGCAAGGCAGACAATGCAAAAAGTAAGGAGGCCTGCGAAGCGACCATCAAAGCAAGATGCCATCGCAAACGCGTTCGACGGAGAGAAAGACTGAGAGCGACAAAAGCGCAGGAACATGCTGCAAAGGATGGACGGTCACAAGCGACAGACTCAAATGCTACGAGACGAGACAAGCAATCTCTGGCTGATACGGACATGCCAGATTTTCGAGCACCAATGATTTGCAAGGCATGACAGCCAGTGATGAGGTGATGTCGAAATATTTTGCCAAGTCTACAGGCCAGAAGGGAAAGAAGACTAATCTGGGAGAAGTAGAAACAGGTGCTACTGACATCTACACTGCACTAGCTTTTGGTGCTCCAGTGCCTGCTGGTATAGATCAATCTCTCCTTGACCTGTTGTTGTCTTCTGATTCTTCTCTAAGCAATGTTCCCAGCGACATGAGCTCCATCACTGTCGACACTTCTCCCTTATCTCCTCTTCTGAGACAAGATACACCAGGCCAGCCTGCTGAAGATCTAAGTATTCCTCAAACTCCAACCAAGTCCGCACAGCCTCCGGCGAAGAAACCTCAGAAGCTTCCAAAAGTTTCACCCTACTTCCCTAAACCTTCCAGTGACGCAGAGTCGTGTTTGCCTTTCCCACCCATATCAGCAGAATCATTTGGCTTGATTCAGGAACAGCTAGCACACAACCCTTTCCGCCTGTTGCTGGCCACCATCTTCCTGAACCAGACCCGCGGAGGTGTTGCCATCCCTGTCCTTTTCCATGTCTTCGGGCGGTATCCGACCGTCGAAGCCATGGCAGCTGCAGACCTGGCGGATGTCATCGAAATGATTCATTGCCTGGGTTTCCAGAAACCAGCGCGCGAAGAAATGCATCAAGCTCGCAAAGACATGGCTGGTGGCGCCGCCTATGAAGGGGAAGCAATACCGCAAGCTCAATTACCCCAAGAATGGCGATGGACGAGACGTCGGTCCGGACAAGTGCATCGACGACGACGATCCGCGCGTCGCATGGGAGATTGCGCATCTTCCGGGCGTTGGGGCCTACGCGATCGACAGCTGGCGCATCTTCTGCCGCAACAAACTCGGCAGTCTGGCGTCAGATTGGAAGGGCAAGTCGGCAGAGTCAGAGGACTTTGAGCCGGAGTGGAAGCACATCCTGCCGATGGATAAGGAGCTCCAGGCGTATCTGATGTGGATGTGGCTGAAGGAAGGATGGGTCTGGGACAGGGAGACAGGCAAGCGAAGTCGAGCGAGCGAGAAGATGATGCGGGCTGCTGAGAGAGGGGGTCTTGCTCATGAAGAGGACGGCAATTGGGTGTTGGAGATGTCTCCAGTAAGGTGTCGTCTTACATATGACCGTATGACCTGTTCGTCTTTTTCTTGTATCTGAAGGATGTGGTGCACTTGTAGGATATGATTGGTGTCATGACTCTAATTCAATATACCCCCTTCTTATCGAAGTATATATATGGCTACTGGAGTATCCCTTATAGATTAATATTAGTATTTCTCAGCCAGGTCAGGACGATATAATGCGATGCAACCCCTCATTGCGATACTGTCTAGCGCTGAACTGCTCAATGGTTTTCCTAAGCTTTAAGACATTCAGTTATTATAGCAACTATTACTCAGCACAGCCTGGAGGCTGTATTCGACAGTGGGGCAATATCAGCACTAATTTAGCGGGGTGCGATTGCTGTCACTAATAATAAATCTACCCTGCAGCCTTAGCTAGACACCTAGCTAGGTATTCATCTCAAGTTTCATCAGACACCAAACCTACAAACAGCCAAGAGGATTTGCCATGACAATCGAGCGACTGATGTTAGAGGATAATCCTTTTCGGTTTAGCGTGTTGCCCTCATGTGACCAGCAGACCGCTATACAGACTCCTTACAGCCCGTATAGGCCACGTACAGGGGGGCATCTGGCATCCCCCCAATAAGAGATAAAATGATTTAGCTTTGCCCGGCGCCAACCAAGTCCAAGTCCAGGCAAATACGAATTGGACCCAGGATCCACACACTCCCTCGTCACGCTGCTCTTCTTGTTAACCTCAATGGTGCCTAGTTCTCTGTTCTGGGTCCGACTTTCTTTTAAGGACGTCCTCATCCCAGACTGGTGGAAGTCTGTTGACTTTCTCCTCCGACGACGTCAGACGTCATGGTCGCTCTTACACAAATCCAGTCGTCCAACGCCCAGATCGCGTCCTCTCTTCCTCCAGGTCTGGTTGCGGTTTTTGTCGGTGCAACCAGCGGCATCGGTGAACTGTCGCTGAAAGCATTCGCCCAGCATGCCACTCAACCCCGGATCTATTTTATCGGTCGCTCCCAAGAGGCGGCAGATCGCATTACCGCCGAATGCAAGTCACTCAACTCCCAAGGAGAGTATATCTTCCTCAAAGCCGATGTGAGCTTGATTCGTGCAGTGGACGACGTCTGTCAAGAGATCAAGAAGAAGGAGAAGGCGATCAATCTCCTCTTCCTCAGTCAAGGGACCTTGATCATCAAGACCGGTAAATCTCGCCCGGTGGAGTTGTCCAGAATGTGAACTGAACATGCATCATAGAAACGTCCGAGAAGCTTCATTTTGCGACCGCGTTGGCCTACTATTCCCGCACTCGATTCATTCTCGATCTCCTTCCCTTGCTCCAGCAAGCCACCGGTTTACGTCGCGTGGTAACCGTCTTCGCCGGCGGTAAAGAAGGTTCGATCGATACCGACGACTACCAAGCATGGAAGGTTCCGATGATGTCCATGCGTGGCCATGTGAGTTCGATGCTCACTCTGTCCCTGGAAGCCATTGCGCAGAAAGCACCGGACGTGACGTTTATCCATAACTTCCCGGGAGCGGTCAAGACGAATCTGGCAAGAGGGGGCCAAGGAGTGGCCATGGCGGCGATCAGGGCCGTTTTCAAGGTCATTGGGCCGTTCATTTATCTTCCGAATCAGGAAGTTGGTGAGCGTCATCTGTTCCTCGCTACGAGTGCCCGGTACCCCCCAAGTACCGCCAGTGGGGTTGCGGTTTCTTCCGGAGTCCCATTGCCGGAGGGGTTCCCGTTGCAAAGGGAACTGATGGCAAGACTGGTAGTGGCGTGTACTCGATCGACTGGGATGGGGAGAGCGCGGGCCCGAAGACGGTGGAGCTCTTAGCCAAGCTCAGAAAGCAAGGGCTCGTGGAAAAGTTGTGGGAACATACTATGGGGGAATTCACGCGGATCACCGGAAAGGAAGCCGCATAGATTGATACCATGTATTCGTATTCGTATTCTTGGCGTATTTTTCTGCTTTGATTTATTTTACGGCCGACGAGGCTAACAATCATTCACGACCATCAATCAATCCATCACCTTGCATCAGCAGGTGGCTTATTTTCTCTCGACTCAAATCAGTACCTCTTAATAATAGGCCGAATTTCTTTCCCTTTCATTCATTATGCTTCCTGTTGTGATGACTACAGGATAGTTCATTAAAGTGGGGGTTCTAGAGTAATAACACAGGTTTGCGCCGCTGGTCCGTCGGTGTCCGGTTGTGATGAGAACCGCATTTTATATATACTGGTGTATATTGATTTCCCACCCTACCAGGTCAACTCAGGGGGTTGCTCGTATTTTTCTTACCAGTGAAGACTCGATATAATTAGTCAGTTTGACAGGGGTCTATCCGAGTCAGATTTTCAGGGTGCAGCTGAGCAATTAGCCGAAACTTTTAGAGCATTGTCTATCACCCACGTGTCTTGGCTATGGCGTCTTATTTGGTGAAGGATACAGATTGGCCTGACCTAATCGAGTCACCACCCATTCGAGGTTATTAACAACAGTTTTGGAGTTGATCCCTGCATTCGACACAGTGTTTATTAATTTTAATCTACACAAGCAATGCCTTCATCGGGCACTGGCCAACAGAGGGTCCTCCCCCGTCAGCCACCCCGGCATCCCGGCATCCCTGCAATATAGAGTTACATACGGCCGAAGCTGAACACAGCATCATCGATACGAGGAATCTTGTCAGGCCACCCCGGCGAATGTGTTGGATAGGGAAGGAAGCCTGGATTCCTACGAGGTGGCGCGGCCGACACCAAGGCTATATATACGCCCATGCCGACTAAGCGACCTGTGAGGGCACCAGGGTCACACTAGATATCAATCCTTTTCTCCAAAGACTCTGTATAGACTTCCAACAGAATGCCAGTCAGACCGAGACTGCGACCCAACAGACAGGGGTATGTCAGTGAGATCGGTCATACGTCGATTTCACTCGTTCACTGAAGATTACGTTCCCCAATCTGACTGGCCTTGGGCGACAAAACAAACATGGTCTGGGAGCCTTAGAAGTAGTCAAGGTCGAAGGTCGACGGGAAAGACGCCACAAGATTTGCCCGTCTCCCACCATTGGTGGTTTGTCCCATGATATCTATCCATCAAGTTATATTGATCTTTGCTGGTGACGACTACCACCCCTCAGTATCTTACCAGCTACTTTCTTTTCTCTCTGTGTTTTCCTGCAGAACCAGCTTTTACGTCAAATTGGAACCTCTCCACCGAACAAGGAATGGAAGACACTCTGACCTAATGTTATCCCGATAGGGCGTATTCCGATAATGACAGACCATACATCCATACCGGACTTGGGGGATTTTTAGAGACGGTTGATTGAGAGTCTATCAATGGTTTTTTTTTAAAAAAAAGTTAACGTTATTTACAAAATTAACGTTATCTAAAATGTATTCCTTTAGGACTAACATTACAAGAAATTAACCATTTTCAAAAAAAATATAGGTTTATTATTCCTATAGTTTAACTGCTTAGGGATAGGGTTATGACCAAGATGGGATTCAAACTCTATAAATTTACTCAACTTGCAAAATTATTTTTATAGAAAAGAAGATGAGGCCTTGATTTCTATGTATTCTACCACTAGGCTATCCTAACCATCTAAATTTTGAAGTTGTGGTTGAGAGCCAAGGATGACCCTGTAAGGGCAATATTCTTGCCTCAAAATAGCATGAAGAGAAGGGTATAAGAGGCAAAAAGCAAGCAGCCAAAATGGTAATTGTGTGGTGTTATGAGCGTTCGTGTTCATAAACATTCAGAACATCGATTGACAAAGACTCAGTAACCTAAAGTGGCAGAAGAGCTGAGGAGACACTTCCTGGTTCATAATTGCTCACAATGTGGCATTAGACTTGTATTCCAACGCTTGCTTAGCGTCAGTCAAGCGCACATGGTGGCAGCCCAAATATCAATCAATATCAATTGATGAAGGAGAAGCTATTGCCGACCAGATTGATCCAAAGATGCAACAGAGATGCAGTAATAATTGATGGAATGGAGTTCCTGCTAGGCATGCAGAGAGACTGATCCTGAAATCTACCATAATAACCTCGACGGATGCCTCGCCATCAGGATTAAATTAAATGCCTACCGCCCGACCCGCCATTATGTCGATATTGAATGGGCCTGGGACTGGTGCCTGAAGCATAAGCTGACGGGACGAGCCATGGCTGGTGCCAATACCATGCAGCAAGCCAGCAAAGGCTTCCTCTTTCCTTTGCCTTTCTATGGCAGTCTGGTCACTTTTAGCCTTCTCCAAATAGGGTGAGCCAAGCTAATTTCTAATTAAAATAGACATAAGAAGCACTGTAGCTGGTGTAATTAAGTGAAATAGATGGTTAGGGTTTCATGGTTGATATGTTATGGTTGCTCTTGTTTCTAGGCTGAAGCACCTAGCATTTAGAATAAACTAAGTTCACATCGCACTAGATGCATATCTAATTATAAACACTAACCATGCTGTCTCCTGCGTCTTGGGTCTTAAGTATATCTCTATAGGTGGTGTTTGGTAGGTGCTATGATACATTGCTAGAGCCATGAGGAGGCCTACAATCCTGTTCCCCTTTGGTCAGAGAGCTCGAGCATGTGCACTTATTTGGTGGCAGCGGTGCATCAATGCGGCCGGCATGACCTCTTTCGCCTGACACTACTGGTGCGGCCTTTCCTCGCCACCAGTTTCGCAACAAAAGAGGACAGATGGGAAAGGCGAGAGAGCAAGGGATTTCTCCTGCTGGGCAGAGGACCTGCAACTGTACATTCTAAACGATAGCCTAGTGGGTCTGGTTCTTGGCTGATTCTGCCTCTCCCTCTTAAAAACAAAATAACGTTTTCTGTCAATTTCTGTTTATCGAACAGAGCCTTACCACTGAGTCTACCCCAATAATCCTCTTTGCACATCCCCAGCAGCCGGCGCCGGTATCCTGTTTGGATCCAAATCACGAGAAGCATCCTTTGCTTTGACAAGCTCAATCCCCAGTCGTCCAAACAAGAGTTCTAGCTCTGAGTATCTTTTGATAGCAAGGCCGATGTACTGCAGATTCAATTCAGCCTTCCGTGCCCTAGAACGAGTTGCCGCCGCACGATGTTTGCCCTTGAATAAATAGAATGGATCGAGGAAGCTTGCCAGGCCACTACCGAGTCTCTGACCGTTTACTGTGCGGACAGTGGCTTGTATATCACTCATAGTATATTGGGCACCTTGAAAGATTTGTTCAGGGCAAATTCCTGATCAGATCCTTGCTGTTGACGTTGAGAACTTTTATGATGGTATTGCCAACGGCATTCTCCATCACCAATCCTCCCTATGCCGATTGGTATATCATGAAAGACAGACCCTATTTCTTGACAACGATTATTCCGACTCCTATGAGGGTGACGCCGATTACCGCCACGAACTAGATTTTTAGATCTTTGAATATAAACCCTGATCAGGATGTTGCTTCCTTTGCAAGGGCTGAATTGCGCCAACTACTAAGCAAGTGCCATCTCGAATGTATTGGACTGTGTGAGCGGCCCGAAGTTTTGGTAAGACTTTTCCTGTCTGATGTCATTCATATAATTCATATATATAAAAATTTGCCAGTCACAGTGCAGCTGACGGCAGTTAATATTAGAGAATGCGACTCCAGCATCTGGCGACCAATATGTTGTTGAAATTACTGCACATATGTGCGGGACATAATCCAATCGACTTTCTGGCACCCGAGGTGATTGCCAGTCAGCGTCAATGTCAGTTCCACCATATCAATAAAGTTATCTTCTAGAAACTCACTATCGGCAGTTCCAGAAAAATTTGCAATGTTTGCCTATCTAATAGTGCTACAGAAGAGGAGGTCTTAGCCTTCACTGAACGGGCCTTTGGCCCAAAGGGCCTCCAAAGTCTCATCATATTAGCTTACGGCAACTTTGCAGAGGGTGAGAGAAATAATAGTTATATTTATTGCAGAAGTTCGGTTTTAGAGGGAGGATATGAAACATCTGACAACTCAGACAAAGTTATGCCTTCATTTTGGAAGATTACCTGCGGTAACAATTCGGGTCATGACAGAGATATCCAGAAAGACCTTATGCACACAGCAATATAAGAAGAACAGAGTCCAGACTGGAACACCATACGATATATTTGCCTGCTACCTATATTATCATGGTGACAGTGGTCATAGCACCACAGATACAACAATATTGGAAGACTGCGATCTAAATTCCCTGTCTTAATAATCATGATGCCAGCTTCAAACAAGAACTTTCTTCTGCAGGAACCATATCAACCCCGCTCTTTCACCACCTCTGTACTTCTGCAGAAATCTCCCATCGTCCAAGGAAAATCATGACTGTAGGAGGCTAGCTGATCTTTTTCTTCAGGGCAGCAACAGTGAGAGTTGAACTATGTAATAGCGGCAAATGCGCCTAATTGGATACTCCGCCCCTCCCTCCCACCACAAATATATGGACTTGGGTGCACCCATCCCCTTTTTAGTGACAAGTCTATCATGATCGCTCGACCCGACCCGATTTCTTCACGGAATAGTAGGTAGGGCTACTTTCCGATATTTGTTCACTTCTTGATTTTTGTGACAGTAAGAGTTAAAATTTTAGGTACAAAGGCCCTGTGAAGGCTATAGCAAAGCCCTAGTGAAGCCTATAGTGAAGCCCCTATAAAGTCTTATAAGGCTCTATTTTATAACTAGATCTATAAAGAACTTTGTAAGGCTTCTTAGGGCTTTACTATTGACTTTGCTATGGGCTTCACAGAGGCTTCGCAGGGGCTCTAAGGGGAGGGGTTCGAGCAATTCGGCACTTGAAATTTGACTTTGATTGGCTGCCGCCCACGGACAGCGACCATCCTTTCCTAAGTAGGGAAATGGCATGAACCTTCACCACCTATTTCGGTAGTAATTCTTCGCAAAGGAACCTGCAAGAACACTTGTGATTCAGTAATTGGCTATCCTAAAATATGAAAAAAAAAATGCATGTATATATGATTTTGGCGGTGAATTTTGCAGTACAAAAGGGCGGCCACACTCCTGCTCGCTGAAGACGGATTCTGTTTCCTCGACAATTACAATCATCGTCAGTTCCCAGTACTCTGGTGCACGGTCCGGCCCTCCCTGCGGACAGATCTAGTACCCGCACTTTAAAGCGTGGTCCATTATCACTCACAGCCTCCATACAACAATACAATATCATCGACTGAAGAAGCTATTAAAAAAATATTTATACTTTTTTGAGTGCCTTTTCTCAAAGTCTGTCACAAAAAAAACATTAAATATATCAAATTTTTGGAGTTTTTCATTATTTTGTCGTGAGTTTAGCCCCCTGTCAGTGGGTCCTGACTAACTAACCATGTTTCCGGGGTATACCCTACCTATTCTAGGTACTCCGTAGCCATGGCTGATGTTGTTTCCGCGTTTCAGTCTTGGTGGGGTGACCTTGTCAGGCAGAATCCCCCAGGATGGATCGAAGCTTTCGGGGTCACTATTCTCGAAGTGGTGATTTCGACTGTTGTCGGAGTTTTCTGCTACGCCACCTCTCGCGACAAAGGGTATCGTGAGATGGTGCGCGGCTCAGCGGGTCTGGTTTCCTTCAATCTGGTTCTGAGGACATTGTCCCATATTTTGATGCTGCAGATCTACGCTTGGCTCTGCGGCGACGGCGCTTCGTGGCAGAACGTGGCGTTTACTCGCGTCTCGGCGGAGGTGCCCTCCGTCCGGAAGCTTCTCACCCAGTTTGCGCTGGCGATTTGCATCTTCGACGTGCTCTTTTATTCTTGGCATCGGATGCTGCATTCGCCGCGTCTCTATAGAAAGATCCATTCTGTTCATCACACCTTCGAGCATCGCTCAAAGCATCGGGTGCCGCTGGCTGTGTATTATGTGCATCCGATCGAGATGCTCCTTCTGGAGATGTCGGTGCACCTGTCGTGCTCGCTGCAGGGAGCTCATGTGTTGACCTATCTCTTCTCCGGCACGATGGCGCTGCTCATGGCGTTGTATGGACATTCTGGCCGCGATTTGTTTGGGTTGATGAGTCACGAACACCACCATGTGCGGGAGTCAAAGAACTATGGAGCGACCGGAATGATGGATTTCCTTTGGGGCAGTTTTGAGTCTCGTAAAGCTGGTAAAGGTGAGTATTTGAAGCAAGTATGGTGCAGAGTGACATGGTATAATGTGAAGTAGGAGCTTGAACCGCCCGTGCTGGTTAACACAGTACAACATTCTCGACTTGGAGATCAACTTGTGCCTGCATAGGCCCTTACATGAGAGTCGAGTTGTGCCTGAGGAATGAGGCAAGTTGAGGCAGGACAGCTAAAATGAATTTATAAAACTGGCCTTGATCTCTTGACAAAGCGATCATACTCATGACTAACAGGAGTCTGAAGACTGAGACGATGAAGGAGATGGAACCTGATCGATAGATTCTTGATTCTTTCTCTATCATAGTTTATCACTGTCATTCCTTCTGTCAACCCGAGCTAGCTATCATTCAGATTAGGGATGCACTAGATAACCTTGGTTATTCTTTTGTAGCCCAGTCTGTTTGACTTTGCTTCTGCCTGCACTCTGTCACATGACTGAGAAAAGTGGCCATGTGTTGGTGCCTGACCCATACGGCATTCAGGCAGCTGCCAGGTCTGACCAATCAGCTGTCAGTTACCACGTGACCGCCAAACCGGCCACGCAGATTTAGAGCCGACCTCAACGCCGGCTCCTAGTCAGTTCTTCTTTTTCTTCCCCAGAGGGAGCAATAATATATTGATCTTCTATGCCTAGATAGACTTCATCTATTTCCCCACTGAGCTCTCGGCAGCCTTACGCCGAGAGGTTATGAGCCCGGCAGCACTGGCAGACGACTGATAACGACGTTGTCTGACTTACAATTCGAATCGATCGACCTGACTGGCAAGGTGCCGGGGTCTCGCTCCCTTGATCGACTCGAATGGACTTGAATACAGAGTAGATTACTCTGAAAACGATCTTACACACGGATCTGGAGCTCAGAACGGCTTCATACGTTCCATACAGCTTATATGGCTAACTTGACTCAATTGAACGATTAAAATGTCGACTC